TTTCTCACCTGAACTCTATTTAGACATATGTTTATACATATATGCTAGCATGTGTATATGTTTATGTAATTTTAGTGTAATTATGTGTGTGAATAAACTCCACTGCATTTATTTTATCATTTTAGTTACAGTTCCCATGCAGAATCAGCGAGTATAAGAATCCTGCTTGGGTCAAACTGAGGTGTGACGTGAAGACTTTCAACCCTATGATGTCACATTTCAAACATCTTGCTTCCACCACGCTTCCATGCACTCTAAAACCAGGGCCAGACACCCTCACTGGGACAGAGTCAGGCAGGGTGTAGATGTCAGCCTCACTCCAATCCTGCCTATATGTTGTTATGTACAGTATTTGTTTGTTTTCCATCTACAAAGGCTGTTATAGCCACAATGTAGAGTTATAGTAGCAAGTAAAAGCAGTGTATTACTTGGCCACTGGATGTCACTGGTGTCCTCTTTCTCCATTTTAGAAATACAGTACACATCAAAGTACGTGTGGGATTCATCAGGCCATCACAGACCAGTCAAACCAGCATGTCCAAATAACTGGCTGGTTAATACTGACAGAAATGACTGACTCAGACTGCCCACCGGACAAAGAGGAGGGTACCAACAATATGCATTTTCAACATCGACCTTGTGAGGTGAGTGCGCAGTCACAGATACAGCAACTGACAGTGTCTTCATTAAATCCTCCACAAGCAAAAGGTCAGATGGCTCCCTTCTCGGCGGGCAGGAGGTGTGTTCACATGTGTGAATTTCACACACCCACAGAGAGGGAACATTGGACTCAGCCATCAGATGCTGACATATAAGGGCCTTTTTAGGCTCCATGTGTCCCGCATTACAAAAAAAGTCACAGGGAGCTCATTTTCATTTTCATGTTTGTCAGCAACGTCAGTAAAAGTAGTCATTATAATATGGAGCCCTTGCATCAGGAGGCAAAAGCAAACATCATGTCTCAGGGAATTTAAGGCGTCAGGATGATTCGAGTGTCTCCAAAGAGCACATAAAGGAAGCATAAAAGGAACAGAGTGAGGGAGGATGGGAAGTAGACATGAAGGAAGCATACAGGTGTATGAGGAAATGGCAGAAAACAAACTGACCCTGGAGTTTAGAGGGATTCACAGAGGTCCTCAGAGGGATACATATTATACTGTATAATGTCAGTTGGACATATTTATTGGAAATATTTTGACAAGGATCAAATTAACTGTCTACCTGCCTACAGTGTCAGACTCAAAAAATAATATACCTTTTTTGCAGTAAATCATGCAACATTTCTGTGTACAGTGTCTTTTACAGTGAAATTAGGTGTAGTCCACTTCTGGATTATGTTTTACAGTATAATACTGTAATTACATCTACAGCATGTATGATTCATTTTACAACATGTTCAAAACCATGGTTGGCATGTTTACAGTAACTTTACTGTGGTACAACATGAAACAACTAATTGTGGTCAGTAAATTACAGTAACTTTAACAGTAATCCTTTACCACTGTAGATAATCAGCATATTGATAATCTTATCAAGCTGCACAAACACTGATGTGACTGTTTTGCCTGTTCACTGTTCTCCTTGATATGCTCTCTGCTTAACAAACCTTAATTGGTGCTTTAATTGCTTGTTGACACATAATTAGATGGACGTGTCTTGGCGCAGACTGAGAAATTAAAAAGGAGAATCCCTGACAAATGTATGCAGATGGACAGACACTCTGGTATATTAATTATGGTGAATAGTGGCGAGGTATGTTGCACACAAAGGTAGTGATCATGTCAATGAGACCTTTTTATATGCATCATACCCAATAATGTTGACGTGCGTTTAGAGAAGCAAATGATGTTTTTAGTAAGGCAGTGACTAACAATGAAGATCAGCTGTGGGATCTGTATTGTATGATTTTTCATCTGTACATACTGGGACATATTTTTGTTTTTTACAGAGTTATCAGTCTATATTTTAACTTAGACATCAAGCAAAATTACATTACATAATTTTTTTTTTTTAAAGCCCTCATACCCTCTGTTGTGTTGTATACATTTGCATTATTGTTTTTTTTTATTCTCTGACATGGAGTACTATTCTTCATACCCTCCATACAATACATCCATCAAGCCTCTACATGCACAAAATTACACCCTCGTGAACAAGACTGGCACATATGGATATATACACATTCACACTCTCAGTTCACACTTACAGTCAATTTAGAGTTTCTAATTCACTTAATTGTGGGTGGAAAATGAAGCACAGAGAAAGACTCACACAAATAAAGCAAATTAAGAATGTGAAATCCCCAGAAGTAACATGTTTGTTTATATATTTATTTATTGGACAGACCAAAATGTTGGAGTTACTTTTGCTCTTGTCTCCTCTTTACTTGTAGGACGCCTATTGCCTCCTAATATAAACTTGCATTGATTTTTTTTTTTTTTTTTTCAAAAATTCAAAATGTCAAAATGAATGGAATACTTTGAAATTCAATAGTTTGATGAATTGATTTAAAAAATATCAACATGAAGTGTATGAATGAAGTGTACAAATAATTAAGAACTTTTATGGGCAGTTATGTTCTGAAATATTTCTTGGCCGGGACCAGAAACCGCCTGGCATTTATTATTCACATAAATAGCAGTAAATTGTTTTTATGTTTCTGTCTTTGTACATGACATGTAACATGTTAAATAGTGAGCTTTCAAGGTAGTAGATGGATTTTGCTTTTTACCATTGTTACGCTAAAGGGGCAGTAGCTTTATGTTTTCCATACATACAAAAAGTGGTGTCAGTCGTCTCATCTAACACACAAAGCGCAAAAGGGCAACTATTGGTGTTTGTGTACCTCCTCTGACATCACAGCCATGAGTGAGCGCCTTATTTATGTGATCATTATCCATCTTTTTGCTGCCCTGTGAATGTGAATTAAATGTTAATGTTTTGTGTGCAAAACAGATCAAGATAATCTGAGTAAAAGGACAATCTGTGAAACATCAATATTATGTGACCCCCATTAAACATCTGATGCTGCACATTGTTTTTCTGAGACAACTGTTCCTTGAATTAGCTTAGTAAAAGTGTTTTTATCAGCCAAGACTTTAAAAACTGTTTTTCTTAATTGTTTATCTCAAGTTGCATTCAGGAGTATTGGCAATTCAAGAGTCAAGAGTTTCTTGTTTGCTGTTTCTGAGAAATAATGCACAGCTCTTCCCTTCAGCAACGAACATTTGTGACAGGTTCTGAGAAAAACATCTGCCGAGCAACTGTTTTATGACTAAATGTGTGTTTAGCCGCATGTGCCCTTCATCCCATGTGCTTTCACCCCTGCTGAGAGTGCTCGCACAGACACACATGCACTTCGCAAGCATGCACAAAAACACACCGATGCACATATACTTGCTGACCAATGCACACTTTTTCTCTGTCAGTCGCACACACGCTTAAATTCCCTGGAGGCACGGTGGGGGGTCTGGCGGGACAGAGATGGACACATGCTGGGATCAGAGCAGCAGTGTGTGATTCACATCTCTCTCTCTCTTTTTCAATCTTTCACTTCCTTCTTTGTCTTCTCACTGACACCCCACTCCCACCTCTCGCTGCTCTGGATACCCCCCTGTGTCTTTGAACTGAGTGTTTCAAATGTATTCTGCACACAAACTCATCAGACAATTGTTCCTGAACCTATAGAGACAATTGGATATTTGTGATCTGGTGATTTTTGCTTTCTCTTTAAGAATCATGTTTCAGTCTTGATTCCAGAGTCTCCTTCTTTCTGTACTTTTTATTCATTTAGTTCACTTGGTACCACACTCCTCATTAGTCTAATTTAGAGAGCATGCTGCTCCCCTAATGGCCTTGGAGGCCCAAAGAATATCAAGTGCTTTTTAATTCTTTAATTCTATTCAAGATTTACATTCATGCCATCTCTCCATTAGCTCTTCTGTCCATCTTTCCATCAATTTGGATCCCATTTAGTGTCCCTCCACAAACAGCTACTAAAAGATGGCTGTAACCTTTTTTTGAGTGGAGGAGGGGAAAGATGTGAGTTTTAAAAGCATATCAAAGCACCACATCTAGTCCCTCTATTTCATGATGTCCGTTGTTTCAGGTGTCTGACAAGTGTTTACTTGTTTTGTTGCTGCTCGTGCTCGAATAAATGTGTACTTTTTTAACCCTATCGTTTGCAGCAGAAAGCAGGTGGAGGGCCCTTGAGGATGCATTAGGATCTTGTTGCGTTGAGGGGATGTATCTTAGCAGTAAGTGAAACAGTGCATCAGGTCCTTTTCAAGGGCCTACATAGGGCTCGTTGGTTCAGCCTGGACTCCTCTTTAGCTCACTCTGCAGCTAGATTTGGCCTGCACTGCAAGTGAATGACAAGATAATGACCATGTCTATAGAAATGTAAAGGCTCAGTGAACAAAAAAAGCCACTTTGAAATATATGATTTTTTTTCTGTTCAAACAACAGTGATATTTTTAGTAAAAACCTAATAATAGATAAAATATATGCTGTATCTAAAAAGTGCATCCAGTGTAACTGTAGCTCTAAGACAATAACGCAGGTCATGTTGAGAAAAAGAACAAGAGAATCAGAATGTACAGCTGGTCAGGAGGTCAGCACTGCTGCTGAAAAAATTGTAATCATGTATATGTAAAGGTGGAGATAGTCATTCTTTAGATATAAATGAAGCATTAGTTTCAGAGCAGTGGACACTTGCAGTCCTAATCATAGCAGTACAGTGACATCTGTTTTGTCTGGATGGTCTGAAATTACACTAGATTACTGATGGTGGCTTGATTAAAACCAAAAA